TCCAATTGCTGAGTTTCGTAGCCAAACAGAGGATACAAATGCTAGAAATTTACAGTGAGTTTGAAGTATAAATGTTCTGCAATCTTAGATTTTGTTTAGACTGTTCGTCTACTTCATATCTTCATTACTTAGAAACAAGAGTAACCCAGGCGAGTTTCAGAATTTCATTAGATTGTTTCGTACTATATTTATGTTGCGTGACAACATTTCGTAGTTGCTTTCACGTAAAGTAGTCATATATTCTGTCACTGCCGCAAAGTTTCAGTCGAAATCATGTACATTTATGACTCTTTAATCGACATACTGTAGTAAAAAACATATTGCATGTACACGAGTACGCTTAGTCCATGTTCTAAGTACACACGTTGTTGTACATAATATGTCACTTAACGCTAGGTAGTAAGCTCTTTGTTTAAGCCTTTTACGAAATTGTAACGTTATCTGAACCCTCTAAACTTTAGTTGCTTTGGTGATTACCATTTTAATTAATGCTTACTACACTCCTTGTATTTGTTATTATTTCACACGGTAAATTAGGGCTCGATTTCCTTATTACACGACAGTCATTTAAATTCTATATTCGGTTTATTAACATGCAATACGGGTTTGGAAAATTCTAAACGTCCTCGAAAATTCTCCACGAACCCAACCATAGTTTTCGTATATGTTTTTATTCACACATCCAACTGTTACGCCAATAGTACCTAAACGAACGTTCAGTGCAACTGTCAGTATACGTAAGAACGATGTTATTTAGATTTGACTTTATAACACATCCGAACTATTGTAGTTGTTCTACTTCGATGCCGTACTGTGTTTATGAACTATTGTTTCCTCGTGGCTGTTATCTAACAGATGATTTCGGTACATCAATCGGCTGTTCAACTACTCGACGATTTACAACCTGTCCAGTTGAACTGGTGGTCTGACGACAATATCATTCGCGTGAATCATCAGTTTATGCAGTCGAGCGAATCCCCTGAAAACTGAAAATGACATTGTCGCCTCTATTCCAACACTGACAGCGTTTTTCACTGGTATCAATGGCATGAGTCCAGAGTGACACTCTTGGTTTCTTGTGTTCTTTTAGATATCTTTCTGTTCACTAATCGAACAAGTAAGCAGCACTCACCGTTTATAATGTTTTAGAGACTCGACAGTGCCACCTTTGCTGTCAATTTGTTGCCTTCGACCATTAGTGACTGTAACAGAAGTCATCGAATTTTCAAACTCTGACTACAAGTTGATTAATAGCTTAGCACAACGGAATCACGACCTCTCTTCACGGTTATACTTCTGTACTTACGGTTAGTTTGTTAGATATAGATATAACTAGAAGCTGTCAACGACACTGTCTGACATTTAACTTTAAATCAATGGCAGTATAGACAACGGCATCGATTGATAATACACTTATCCTACTATCGCTATACCATCATTACTCTCGCGGCAAACTCAACGATCTCATCAGAGGAGCTCAATTACTTGTCAGAGCTATATATTTCAGTGCGACGTTATGTTATTTTTATTATTTCTATGGTTAATCGCTTTACGTTCAACCAGCGTCCTAGAGGCATATTAATACTCGCCGTTTTCCCGATCAGCTTTTGCCGTCTACTTTCCATTTTGTTTACAGCTCAGCAATACCCGGAGGATTCATATTATTCGTTTGGTAGCCCTCGGCGTGCGACAACTCCTAACATGTTTGGTACCGATTCAAACGGCCATTGAATCTGGTGGGGGGAGTATTGCAGGGTCAGCGAAATTTCACCAAGTTCTAACCAAATCAGTTGGGTCACTGAATGTCGAACCAATCATTGGTCCTCGTCAAGGACAATGACAACCAATGCGCATCAGTTAATCGTAAACCATGGACTGGCCCATACGGCAGTGGTCTTACTTTCGCCTGTATCTTCTTTAATTAATATATTTTTGTAATAACGTCCTCTCTGTTGTACAGTCTCCAAAGCGTCTATGGTACATTGATACATCAATGGTGTAGTCCACGTAAGATGCCGACCACGAGTTGTGACCTCAACGTTAGCTGGTTCTTCACGCCGTTCCCATTTAACTCGAGTAGGCTTCCGATCATTCGATATATATCATCTACGTTGGTGATTTACAGAACTGCCTTGAAGTTGGTATTGAAGATCCTGACTTTGATATTGGTTGAAAGTTGTTCCATATGTTCTCTAACTGTAGGAATGCGGCTCTTGATTCGCCAACCACTTTTGCGTCTGCATCTGAACCTCCTTGTTCATCGATGATGCTTCCTAGGTATTTGAAGGACTCTACATCTTCCAGAGTTTCGCCATCAAGAGTGATTGGATTGGTGTTTTTCGCTTTGAATTTGAGGACCTTGGTTTTCCCTTTGTGTATGCTGAGGCCTACTGATGCAGAGACTGTTGCTACACTGGCTGTCTTCATCTGCATCTGCTCGTGTGTACGTGATAGGAGGGCTAGGTCATCTGCGAAGTCCAAATCGTCTAATTGATTCTGAGCTGTCCATTGTATTCCATGTTTTCCTTCAGATGTCGAGGTCTTCATAATCCAGTCGACCACCAGAAGAAAGAGGAAGGGAGAGAGTAAACAGCCTTGTCTGACTCCGGTTCTTACTTGGAATGCATCTGTCAGCTGTCCTCCATGCACTACTTTGCACTGTAGTCCGTCGTATGAGTTCCGGATAATGTTGACAATCTTCTGAGGTACTCCGTAGTGTCGAAGAAGTTTCCATAATGTCCTCCTATCTACACTGTCGAATGCCTTTTCATAATCAATGAAGTTGATGTATAGTGATGAGTTCCACTCAACTGATTGTTCGACGATGATCCGTAGTGTTGCAATTTGGTCTGTGCACGACCGATCCTTACGGAATCCAGCTTGTTGATCTCGAAGTTGGGCGTCTACTGCATCTTTCATCCGGTTCAGCAACACTCTGTTGAAGACTTTCCCTGGTATTGACAGTAGTGTAATGCCTCTGTAGTTTTCACATTTGCTCAGATCTTTCTTTGGAATCTTGACGAGGTGTCCTTCTTTCCAGTCCATCGGCACTTGTTCCTCCTCCCAAATCTTTTTGAATAGAAGGTGAAGCATGTTTGTAGTTACTTCGATGTCTGACTTTAGTGCTCCAGCGCACAGCCAAAAAGCGAAATTAATTATAAATAAATTTGAAAGTTTCAAGTAAAGAAGTGTTTTCTTTTATTTTGCGGTACATTGTATCGCGAAGCCGTTAAAAACTCATTATTTAAGTGATGTTACAGTAGATTTTCCATATTTGCATCGCAGACTGGCGATTATTTCCACTTAGCTATAAAATGAGAGTAGACAAACAACTTATTTTTATATAAGGCAACATGATTTAAGCATATGTGGTCATACAAATCTTCATTGTTGTCAAGGCTACCAAAACTACGCAACACGTAACGACATCATAATAAGATTCAACGTTTTTCCACTTTGTATTGCAATTTTGGTTGATTTTCACTATTTCGTTCTACTTTTATGGCAGAAATAGGTTAATAGTGAAAATATTAGCTGTACTGAGGGTTGTAAATGTTATGTATATGCTATAGATGATAATAACACATACCAAGATGTTAACATCACCTTCTACAGTTAGATATATAAGCCACCAAATCATTGTACTGTGAGAAATAAGTCAGACTCGTGTGCTAGAGGTACAGTAATGTGAAGATTTTACTAGAGACAAAGCTAACAGCTATACTACCTCTTGTACAGAGTTCCAAATTTTAGGCTGCTGGTATTCATGCAAGGTAGCTTGTAGCAGAAATAAGTACTGTAATAAAACAATTACGAGAAAGCATTGAAATGTACGATTTTTTAATTAAGATATCCTAATCTTAGGTGACCAGTTTGTCTGAGGTCGTATATGATGATCTTCGGAAATCAATCGAGGTGTGTCTAGCTTACATGCTGTTGCCGGAATGACAATTACTTATACCTTACGTGGGACCAAAATAAAATAGGCATCAGTATATACAGATTCCACAGGACGATTCAAACTATGTTCATATAGCAGTTTTTATATATATGTGGGTGACTATCCAAATAAAGGGTGTGCCAAACGCACTTTCGATCTGCAATTGAATACCGGGTTCTGTATTTATATTAGTTTCTGGTAAACATTTTGGCTGAGATAACTATTTCCTGTTTATCTTATTTTCAGCTGGCTTCGCAAGTGTTTACAAACCTAATTGGAATTTTTTAATTTAGCAAACAGCTTGGTCTTGCTGTTGATGGGTTTTCTGGGGTCTCAGCTAACGGGCGTACGGGGCTTGTAACATTCTGTATTCTGCTTCTGGCATGGGTTGTTGGATTTACTATACGTCTTTTCTCAGTTATACGTTTTGAAAGTGTCATCCATGAGTTCGATCCTTGGTTTAATTACCGAGCCACCAAGCAGATGGTCGAAAATAGTTTCGAGAACTTTTACAATTGGTTTGACAGCACTGCGTGGTACCCACTTGGGAGGATTGTTGGAGGCACTGTCTATCCTGGTTTAATGGTTACTTCAGGTTTTATTCACTACATGTGTCACCTTTTGAGTTTTCCGGTTCACATTCGTGAAGTTTGTGTTTTCCTCGCCCCTGTATTCAGTGGCATGACTGCCATTGCGACTTATTTTTTTCACGAAGGAAATATGGAATGAAGGAGCGGGTTTGTTTGCTGCTTGCTTCATCGCCATCGCTCCCGGATATATAAGTCGTTCAACCGCCGGCAGTTATGATAATGAGGGAATCGCAATTTTCGCACTGATGTTTACGTACTACTTGTGGATTAAAGCTGTCAAAACAGGAAAAGTTCTTTGGGCCGCGTTTTGTGCTGTTGCATATTTTTACATGGTATCTGCTTGGGGTGGTTATGTGTTCATTATAAACCTCATTCCATTACACATTTTTGTACTACTAATCATGCAGAGATATAGCGCGAAACTGTACGTGGCTTACACAACCTTCTTCATCTTGGGTTTAATAATGTCGATGCAAATACCATTTGTTGGTTTTCAACCACTACGCACTAGTGAACATATGGCATCAATAGGAGTGTTCGCACTTCTTCAAGTTGTTGCTTTTTTCAAATATCTACAAACCCGTGTTCCCTCTGATACGCTGAAGCAATTATTTACATTTGGTGCCATTTTTTCTGCTGGAGTTATATTTGTTGTTGTAGTTGGGCTGACATATGCTGGTGTTATTGCACCATGGAGTGGCAGGTTTTATTCTCTATGGGATACTGGTTATGCTAAGATACATATTCCAATTATAACATCCGTTTCTGAGCATCAACCAACTTCATGGGCATCTTTCTTTTTTGATCTTCATGTATTAATTGCTACATTTCCAGCTGGTGTCAGACTTTGCTTTAACAATTTAAATGATGAACGTGTTTTTGTTATTCTCTATGCAATATTTGCATCATATTTTGCTGGTGTTATGGTTCGTCTTATGCTTACATTAACACCAATTGTATGTGTGTTTTCTGCTATTGCATTTTCACGTGTCTTTGAATTATTCTTAAATGAATTATTCTTAAATGTTGTTCAGCTCACGAAGAACCAAGTCCATTATGTGTTTCCTTGTCCACTGGCTGCTATGCCGAAATAAGTCTCATAGGGACAAATAAACACACACTTACCTCCACGAACCAGATCCTTAGAATGAGCATACAAAATATGACCACAGGGCATATGGTCATTGAAACGCTCACAAGCACATCGTGCACGTGAAGTATCAACAACGTTATCTCTTATATAGTCAAATGCCTGTGGAAATGGGTTCTTAGGTGTTCATATCTCTGAGTAAATCTGAATATAATGCGTTATGAAAAGCGATGCTCACATGCTAGATTGCCTGCTTTCTAATGAGATCTTCCAAGTATTTGCGTACATAGAGATTTCTGAAATACAGCAAATAGTCTGTATCGTTAACATTTACCTTCCTGAAAAATGCTCTTAAGACATGGACTGAGCACAGTATTATTTTGGCATGACTGTGAGTAGGCTGTACCGCTGAAATTTCGGTCGCTGCCGAATCCATAACGATAGTACGTGTATCATAAATACCACGCATTATGTCTTTGAAGCATTCCAGTAGTCTTACGACGTCTTCTCATCGTTCTTGCCTGCAAAGAGCATACATAACAGTGCGTCCTTGTCCAAACTATCAGTAGTCACTAGCTGGAACAGTGGAAAACCTTATTACTCTTCGTTACACAACTTTCTTGGTCTGATAAGTCGAGTCAATACATACTACCTCTGAGAACGCGTGGTAAATAGCTATTCGCTCTCTGCGACTGAAGCAAATCATAGATATGTTTCCATGTTCATTGGATACTATTATTTCAGTGTTTGCTTGAACACGCTGAAAAATGTCGTTGATATTTCTAGTGTCTGAACTCAACTAAATACAATGTGAGTTTAACGACCTGGGTACAACTGTGAACGCTTTTCGGCGACATCGTCCTTGGTAAGCTGTTTATGGAACTTCCAAGAAACCAGATACCGTAAACTACGAGTTGGCGTATTACTCAATAGAAACGTTCTTAAATATAAGCGTTCACTTGACGTCGACTTTCGTCTTGAAGGATCTACAGGAGAATATTCTTCTGTGCAAGGATGTTTGTGCACGGTCTTGATAGAGGTGACTTTTAGCTCACCATTTACTGCACGCACCCAAAATCCAGATTGGCAATGGCAATATTTCGAAATAAAACATACGTAGATGACCGATGTCGTCTTCTTTATCTAGGTTGTGGTGGTGAGTTAGGAGTTGTATGCTCTTCAGAAGAATGATGATCACTACCATCATCTACATCCTGAACGCATGCATCTGACTCGGATGAACTGAATTTACGTCCATATGTACAGACATATCTCACAAAAAATACTTTAGAGATGGTTCATCATTGTTCTTTATACATAATGACATAACGTACTTAGGATGCGTATACTAAAAAAATAATTATTAACCACAGAAGTCAATATATTGCCTTATGACCTGTTTAAACAGGTCTCAATATTGTCCCAACTTGTAAATCGTCAAGATAACATAATATCATTGAAGATTCGTCTTACATCATGCATCATCACGATGGCATCGTCTTCGTTACTTGAAGGGTGGGCGTTACCGGACATGGTGTGGCTGAACTCAATTCAAATTCAAAAATATTTTGATTTGACCGCTTCTGAAAATTTTCACTAACTGTCGATATGACGCACCAATCATCTTGCGACAGTTTAACCTTCAAGTGCTCGCAACCTCCGCCAGTGAACGGTACCCCTGAAGCGTTTCCTGAGAGCGTTGTGATGTAATAGACTTACTTAAGCGATTTCCCAAGAATTTAGTAAGTACCTAGTAATTTTTTGGTTATCTGCATAACGATGTACAATTACTGACTGGAGCTTATGTAAATTTCTGTACTGGTTTTGTTTTTTGTAATCCCGTGTTTTTTTAAGGGACAAACATCTGAAACCTAATAATAATTGACTGACGAGCTGTTACGTGAAACCTACCGTTACATCGTTAATACATCAAAACTCGTTCTTTCTCGTAATTCGGCTACTTCGTGTTCATTGAGTCATCGTTCGTGTATACGTAATAGACTGCTGAATCACCAAACGTACTTCAGTCTTTCCCCACAGTTTACTGAAAACAACTTACTTGTAAGTTATACACAGCTTTTAAAGGCTAAGTAGTTCAGCTAACTCAGATGGTCACTGTGGACTTTTTAAGTACATTCTCTCGGCTTCCTAAACTTATCGTGTTTGATCTCGGTAGGAAAAACAGTAAAGTTAACTTCATCTCTAGACTTCACTCTATGGCCTCTGTGGTGCGACACTCACGTTTATCCTCCATTCATACGAAAGTGAGGCTCGTATAATCTTTTTTTCATGATCGGTGATTTGTTAGAAATAACACTGTATACGATGCTAGTGAGAGACGAGTTGATGTCTACTCAGATGCGCAAGTAATATTGAGGTAGGAATTTAGTGAGATGTACTGTAATGTATTCACTGCTTTACAGGATGATCAAAGAGTCTCCGAAAATTAAATTGGGATGTGCTTCGCGGTAAGTACTAACCCTATTCATCGTATATTTTACTTGGATGCGTAAGTAACTGTTAGTTATGTCCATAACTGACCGACTAAATCGTTGTTTGAACGCCCACTACGTTAGTCTGGTATGTTGTGTCTGTAGGTTATCCCTGTTGCATATGACCTGTCAATTGAAGGATATTGTTATCGTATTACTTTAGTGTGGCTGGTAATTTTATTCATTTTGATAAGGCATGCACTACTGGTCGGTTTGTTTGTGCATTTAACTTAACGACTATAATCCCTTTAATTACGGTACTAATCGAGTTGTCTTTGCTTTTAGAAACAGATCAAGTTTAAAGCCAAGTTGTCCTTGTCCTGACTATAGCTTTCACATAGACTCTGGGGTCGTCAGTATTGCGTTCACAGTTCTAGTAGAATATCTGTAAGATATATTAAATCGGTGAAACTCTATTTTATGGACGACCTTTGAACGTATTTTTAAGTGACCTTGAGAACATTAGTCAATCAGAAGGGAGTTAGTATAAAATAAAAATATATTATAGAAAAGTGATGAATTACAATGGATATTCTTCTTTTACATGATTTAAGAACTTGTTGAGGTTTGATAAAGGTTCAGAAGTTTTGAAATTATAGTGCATGCGGTATAAGAACTCATCCATATGACTCCATAATAACCGTCCTCTGGAGCCGTGGTAGGGTCTTAAAAATACTTCAGCATAGACCACATGCCTTCAATGTTGTTTGTATGGACTCCCGTCGTTGGATCAACAAAATGACGTTTGTGCACCACAACATGATGCACAAAACCAAGTCTCGAGAGGCATCTATACGCTTTCCAATCATCGGTATAGATCGTCGTACCAGGCTGAACGTACTCCTTGATGATTGGTATGATTGTCGTTACCTGACGGTTTCTTACTCTTTGTAAATGTCCTTTTTGAGTTGAACGATCGTAAAACCCAAGTACCTGTCAAGTATATTCACGGAAGTGCTACTTACCCAATCTTCTTTGATAAAACGTCCTTTATTGTATTTTCGCTTTCTAACTAGCGCCTCATCTATTTCCACTATCTTTCCAACTCCTCCAAATGATTCATGTACTCGTGTCATTTTCATTGCGCATATATCACGACAATATTCATACCACTGAACGGCAGAAGTTTCCGTAACATCTGCAAAAGCCGCAGCTAACGTTACTGGAGACTTTATGATCCAATTTGCAACGATTATCATGATTTGTCTAAGCCTTAGTCGTGACCGGGCAAAAAAAGTGCCAGTTCGAGCAGATTTTTCTCTCCAACATATAGTACAACGAAATACAATGTCATCGCGGTAGTCTGCACATCGTGCTGTGGTCATTTGATTGCCGCAGTCACAGACACAGGAACTTCTTAACAGTCCCATCTGCTGTAGTCTCTCAACGATCACCTCTTCTCTAAAATCTGCTGTAAAACGATCGAATGTGAGCATCTCGCATTGAACTTAGCGCCGTGACCTTGAAACTCCTTAAACGCTTCTGATTGGCTCGTCCATAAGTTAGAGTCCTACCGGAGAGCTGACTTTCCCCACCCTCATACGTACGAGGGCATTTGGGGGTCTTTGTGCTTGATGACTGTTTGATTTCGAATCCCAAATACAATACGTTCGTTTATGCTTATCTAATACTTCTTAGTTAAGTCGCGTTATTCTTGGGATTCCTGGTTTGTACAATAATTCAAATACTCCTAATAATCACTAGTTACTGTCATTCTTCACTCAACACTGATTTATTCACTCCTAGTTTATTGATTCTTTACCAATATCCTCATTTTAAATGTATGTGATGCAAAGTGAAGTATCAGAAATTTCCTTCAGATTCCATGTTATGCCTAACTATCCATGTGCTTAGCGACCTATTATGTATATTTGCACTTCACTTCGAAATCAGATGTGCTATATATTTGATACGTGCATATGGGCTATCCTGAATTATAGAATAGATGAAGTGTAGCTAGCAGTGAAGTTTGGGGTACATATCTTACCCTTTTTGGGACTCGAGAGCTGGATGTGCCTGCTCCTGATTCCGATCTCCGCAATAGGACTCGAACCCAATACCTTTCGCTTCAAGCCCTTAACACATTATTTACTGAGCTACTGAGTTCAGATGACCACTAACGTTTGAGATGGGTATGATGCTTAGATCACTGTTGGTATAGGTTGAAATTCTACTTTTGTTGATACAATTTACTGAATTTTGATCGAATTTGCTGACATGTGTGCGTACTACAAAGATTACCTGAAATATTGGGAAGTATGGTGCCATGCTAAAAGTGTGAAACTCCATTCAAGACTTTCCTATAATAATGAATGAGATTTCAAAGCAGCATCAACTAGATTTTTCAATGCAATATTATCCTTAAAACAAGATTTTACATCGTTCTATGAGTAATCATTAACCAGAAAAATCATTAAGCAGTCACCTTTAGATGGCTAATAGGGTAATCATATCACAAAAGCCAACAGAAACCTAGCAAAAATGACTGGACAACAAAAAAGAATAACTATCTACTACTTGACTAGTGTATATGGATCATTCCCATAAGAAATCAGTACAAAAAATTGGAACCAATGATAACTGGACATAAAATATGAAAGAAATGTTGGGACCGTAAACAATAACTACTTCTTGTGGTGTAACAAAAAAAACTGGCTAGCTATTGATGTGAAGAGAATGCTCAAATATGAAACAGCAAATGTTCACTTTAGTATTTATTACAAACTGTTTTTGTTATAGCATTAAATCAAACTGATTGATAGGCTAGTAAGGAATAAAACCAGAGTAATGAGGGTGGTTGTCAAGATATATTGGAATGGTGATACGAGGTTGTTTAAAACACAAATCTCAATTCGGCGAGACTATAACTTAGGGATGGACCAATCACATTCAAGACAACATATCTTGGATTTTGAAGCAAAATTTATCTACTCATTTGGCTAAATACCATTTTGGCATTACAACTTATATTGGTTCGTGATAAAAACATTAAATCTAATTCCTAAACCTAACATTCAAATGTAAATCCTAATTCTAATTCCTCATACATACATACATAACTCTCATTTAACCCTAGTACTTAGGACATCCTAAGGCCATTTTAACGTTGCCCAAAAGTCGTCCATAAATTACAGTCTTACCAGCTCTCCCTCAAGAAATGCTCTCACATGGTTACGCGTATACGGCCACTTCCAGGAAAGCCCTAGTCACTGCTTTCTCGTGGCGCGGGTGTTGTTTACGAAATTGAGAGGATGGAAAGCGAATGTCCAGCACTTTAACCGGGTTGGTGGACATGGAGAGTCCAGGACACAGGTGAGTCCGTCTCGATTTCGATTGTTAATTCTAATACTAATGAGTAGATTCTAGATAATACATAGTCTACATCCAATGCACTGTCGAACAGGATGAACTTAAGGAGAAGACGTACAATCGATTACAGAAACTTGGAATCCAATTTAAGCTGTGGCGAATGTGGTGTTTGTATGAATTAACGATTCATTTGTAATTGTTTATTATTATTTCTTTGTTTGATCACATAAACATTGGTACGAAAGGGTACTGAACACATATGCGCCATACAAGTCACTTGATTTGTTTATTTGCTGTGATACTGCCTGGGTGCCCAAACAAAAGCAGGTGATTTTCTCAGGTCACACCCGGAGCCTTCGACCTAAAGGTCTAGTCTGCAAGGCAGTGGCAACATCAGAAGACTCAGTTACATGGTAGCCGGTGACCAACGATTGGTTCATGCGCCATTTGTTTCCTCAGGATCATGGAGCCCATGTGACCATTGGTTTGTAATGAGGGTTCTCCAACTCCCTAGGTGAACTCTCCATGTGCACCAACCCGGTTAAAACGCTGGACATTCGCTTTCCATCCTCTCAATTTCGTAAACAACACCCGCGCCACGAGAAAGCAGTGAGTAGGGCTTTCCTGGAAGTGGCTGTATACGCGTAGCCATGTGAGAGCATTTCTTCAGGGAGAGCTGAATTTCTCCACCCTCAGCCGTACTATTTGGGAGCAGTAGTTTCCTGAGAGTTACATAAGGAAGTGAAATAGGCTTCTCTGGAAATGCCGAAGTTTTTAATAAGTTGTAGATTTCTTTTCCAATGAATACAAGGAAATTAGCCACAATGTTAACATCCTCAACATCGTCCTTGGTCATAGCCCAGATTTCGAATCTTTCCATGTAATCTTCAAAAGCATGGAAATTCGAATGTATGTCCGATTGTCTCATCACAGGCTCCATCGCGACGCCAATGTGATTGTTAGGAGTATTTAGATTATTGTACAAACTAGGAATCCCAGAAGTAACGCAGTTGTACCGTGACGAATTAGATGAACACAAACGAACGTATCGTATATAGAATTCGAAATTAGACA